ATAATAATAAAAATTAAAGAAATTACATAAAAATGAGAACTTTTAAATAATTAATTTGATATTTACATTGATATTTTTTTTCAAATTTATATTTTATTCAAAAATAAAATCATTATTGTTTTCTTGAAACATATAATTTATACTTACTATATTATATAGCATTTGACAAAAACTCTTAAAAACCATTTTTTATACGTAAAGTAATGTTTATTAATACATATTACTTAAAACTCAAGATTGCAAGTAGATTGTGCCAATAAGTCTCTTTCAAGAGCATTATAATGGTATGCCCAGCTAACTAAGGGACATACCAAAGATTGGGACCTGAAGTGGTAGAACCCGATGAACCAAGCGTACTACTAAACATTGATTCTCTCTCCTGAACTATAAATCATTATTTATAGCTAGCAACTAAAAAAACTACAAGCAACTACATAAACAACCCTGGGGTAAATTGAGTAGTTCGCCCTACCTACTAATTTACTCAAGTAAGCTTGCATCTTACTATACGGTTTTCTATAACCTAAGACTCTTAGATAKAGAGTTTCAAACCAAATGTGCCCCCAGTGGGGAACTAAATTGCTGGCCATTCCCTAACCTATCTATATATACGCTTAAACCTTACTCGGATTAACTGGGCAAGGGTTCGTAGCGCTTACCATTCTTTGTGATTGCTTATTCGAKTCCTAAAAGTGGCTTAAAAGCTCCTTTAGCATAAGAATTTTATAACTAATCAATAAGCAAGGACTCACTCATTTCCCAGCGAGGACCATAGACCTAATAAAAGAGATATATGACAGCTCGAGTGCAAGCATCAAYGATTATGTCCTGAAAGAATAATGATTCTTCTATAGATAAAGAATCTGTGAAGTTTGATTCCAAAAGTGATAAAAAGCATGGTAAAAAGTGACTAGGAGTCATTATGATATCGGTGCCAACTTGGTTCACTTCTTAGTCGAAAGATAAATTATATATTTGTCAAGCAAAGTGAGCTTTACTGAATTACCAGTGAAGAAAGGGAAGGGCTCAGAAGACAGGCGCATTATAGCTGCGTGCGTTAAGGTTGTTTTTCTTGTAGTTAGATGGAGCCCGGTTCTCCTTTTTAAAATGGGATGACTTCAACCTTGACTTCGGACAATCAACGTAAACAAAGACTCATCCTAAGCTAAGACTCTTTCTCTCTGTGGTTGTTACGAAGATACTACGCGGATAACAAAGAGTAGTAGTACCATCTGTAATAGGAAGAGTTCTCCTACCTAAGGTCTAAAAAAAGTCTTTTAGAATCTCCTTCTTACCGATCTGTAACGAGCTAATGAAAGGCTTAGAATCAATGCTTTGACCGGTAATGTCGAATCTAAGAACGTATTGTGCCTTCTACGGGGMCCCAGTCATTCTTACTGACTTAGCTAATTCAATTCTTTCTACTGGGAAGCCCTTTTCTAATGATAATTCAATGCCTGCCTTTCTAATGAGATGTGATCTGTCTAGGGCTAGCTGAACTAAGCCTCATCTGAGGAGGAAAGTTTGCTGCTTGATTCCTTCTTAGTTAGTTTTGGGATATGATTCTTCGCATCTCGAAACGAAAGAGGTTTTGCTCAAAGGCTGACGYAGAAGAGAAGAGTTTCGGCATTCAAATGAGTTCTTCTTATTCCACGAAATTCATTTATTGGATAACTTATCCCAAGGAGTGAAGCTACGACAGACCCAACCCAATTCATGTTCCTCTGTCAAGATCAAGATGAAGGGGGGAGGATGAGATCTTTTGGCGGGYTAGTGGGGGTCCTTGGCTAAGATGGAATCTTCACCTTTGCTTTCAAGCTATCAAAGCYGGGAACCAAAGACGTTGAGGATCGATTCCTTATTCCCCAAAGGGAGTTGTTTCCGACCCTTACATCATCYTAAAGAGAATCAAGATATCCCAGGAACCAAGCTAGGGATTCAYGACTAGCGCGAAAGCCTAGCGAACAAAAAAGCGCTCATGCTCTATCGTGTTTACCTCCCTTAGCCCACTCCTACCTAGGCAGGAGGAGATARAGGAATTTTTGTCTTTGGGCATCCTCCTCTTAGTCTTCCGGTGAGGAGTAGGTATATCTTGACTTTATAGGTTACGGGAATAAATATATGTTGGAGTTCGAGTGGAAGTTGCCCGGTTCAAGTACGCTAAATGCGGTATCAATAATGCATGGCTAACCAACTTCGTAGCTCGATCTTATACTTTTATAGGTAACAGATTTAGACTTACACAAGTTGGAAGATTCCATTCACGAAGGAAGTATTTGAAAAAGAGAATGCGAGACAGAATGGGTTAGTTGTCCAGTTTGGTAACTAACTTATTAAAGCTCCATATATGAATTCGTGTAATTAACTGCAGCTAAACATAATCAAATACAATATAAATATATCATTTTAAATATAAAATATCTAAAATATAATTAGGATAATCATTGAGTTCTAACAAAATAATTAATTATTATCTTTATAAAATTTATATTATT